AGCCCCAGCCGGCAGGGGTAGAGGATGGCCCTGGGCCGGCTCCCCTCCCCCCCAGGCTCAGGCTAGGGAGCCCAAGGCCCTGCCTGTCCCAGAGGTGGGTGCCCAGTGTGCTTCTAGCCGGTGGGTCGGGCCCTGCAGAGAGAGGGCTCTCAGGGGCTCTAGCAAGCACTCCCTTCCAGCTGCAACTGGGGACAGAGTCTGAGGAGCTTTTTTTTGGTCCCGGTGCTGAGCTGTTTTAGAAACTTGAACTTCCACCAGCAACTTGAACTAGATATGGGCAACAGGGTATGGGTGAACCAAAGCCGCTATCAGCTCCTTGGCTGAGAACAGGGGATGCCAGGCAGGGGCACGTACCTGAGGAGACTCAGCTGCATGCCCAGCTGGCCAGCTTGCATCTCCTTTCCCAGCTCTAGACTCACTTCGCCCTCCAGGATCCTCTGCATCCTGTCCACCTGCGGGCCCCAGGGAAGAGGCGGTCAGGCGGGCTGGAGCTCCCTGCCTTCCGAAGGTGCCTCTTCAGCCCGAGCGAGCCCCTCCCCAGTCCCTAATCCTAATCCAACCTTCTGACAAAAGCCAAGGTCCTTTCCTGACATCTATCCATCCACCCACCCATCCATCCCACTGGGTGTAGACAGTTGGCATTTAGAGGACAACTGAAGACCCAGCAGCCCCTTGCCGTGACCACTGGCCCCAGACTGTCCCACACACGAGGCTCCGGGGACCGGGTGTGACTGGAAATGGTCGCATGCAATGGAAAGAGCACAGGCCTCCTTGTTGGCTCAGCTGACTCTTCACAGCTCTGAGCGTCAGGTTTTCCATCAGGAAACGAACACGGTAATGTCTGAGCTGCATTTCCCACCTGACAGGCTTGGAAGACCCAGTGAGATAACAGAGAGTGAAAGGACGGTGTGACCCAGCAGGACACAGGCAGGCGGGATTACCAGCCTGGCTCGGGGCAGGGCAGCCAGCCCCTCACTTACTTTTGCTTTCTCCTGCCGAACTTCTTTGGTCAAGGCCTTTATGGTCTTCAGCTGCTCCTGCAGGTCTGGTGGCATAGTCTTTTGGACTATGGAAAAGGGAAGGCTCAGATTTCCAGCCCCACAATGAGGCCACCCAGAGAACACAGGGCTGGGGGGAGGGGGTGGGAAGAAAGGAGTCAGGAGTGTCCCTAGCCCTCAAAAAAATCCACCTAGGGCTTAATACCCTACCGGGCTTTGGGACCACCGGCCCACATTTTCCACCCAACTCTAAAATCTGAATTATTACCTGGACCTAGAGCGGGCAAAGGTTGAGTTTAGTTCAACATTCTCTCCTCCAACCCCCACCCGATGCTATTGGTTTCCCTGCCCCAACACTTTCCCCAGCTGCTGTCCAGAGAGCCTGACAAAGGCATAAGAACCTGCTCCCCCCCTCTCCGGAGGCTCCTTCACTCCCACTGGTTTAATTCCATCTTTTGGACCCTGAAGGCTCTAGGACAGGGGTGGGGAACCTTTTTTCTGCCAAGGGCCATTTGGATATTTATAACATCATTCATGGGCCATACGAAATTATCAACCTAAAAATTAGCTATGAAGCCCAGCTGGCATAGCCCAGAGGTTGAGCATCGACCTAGGATCCAGGAGATCCCAGTTCAATTCCCCGTCAGGGCACATGCCCGGGTTGCGGGCTCAATGCCCACTGGGAGGCATGCAGGAGGCAGCCGATCAATGACTCTCATCATTGATGTTTCTGTCTCTCTCTCTTCCTTTCCGTCCTCTCTCTGAAATCAATAAAGACATATATATATATGTGTATATATATACACACATATATATATATATATATATATATATTTTAAACTCTTTAGAAAGAAAGAAAAAAATTAGCTATGAAAAAAGCTCCCAGATTTATTGAATTTCGAGTCTGCCTGCAGCCGCCTTGGCAGGGCCAGACCCAGTACGGCCCGGGCTAGACGTTCCCTCCTCTGGTCTAGGAGAACACAGGGTGGCTAAGAACAGGCTTTCTGTTTGGGGGCCCGGGAAGGAGACTGGCTGCCAGGAGTTACGGCTGGGGGGGCGGGGCGGG